TTTTTTTTTTGAAATAATCCAGCTCAAGTAATTTTTAGGTTGCACTTGTGGAGCTGCAGTACGATCCAACCACGCCCCATTTTCTGCTGATTATCCTTGGCGTAGTAACCACCCTGTTGGTTTCTGTCCATTTGCTAGCATTGATGATGTCAACTTGCATATTGCCGTATATGGAAGCTACTGGTTGTACACAGGATTCACCGCATATTCGATTGAAGTGAGTCCTGGTATCATTTATGGAACTTTTGGAAATCTTCCGTGAGCAGCTAAAGGCTTCATAGTTTTTATGAAATTTGTGGCTTCCTTGCTTTGTTCACCAAAGTGTATTAGACGGTCAAGATCTCGCACAGTATAATTGAAGATTTCCTAACCATTATTTTCAGATTCTATATCGACCTATCATGGATCTTCTCTACATGTATCGGATTAATTCTTTTCCTTGTCGAAATTGGCATCATATTTTTTGTCAAATTTATATCAGTTGAATACGTGATGGCTGGCTACATCACAACAGCAATGCTCAGTGAGTTGCCTTGATTTTTTCTGAGAGCTTATCCTGCGTCTTTATGGATATTTGTTTTAGTACCTGTTGTCATCGTATTCGTTGTGTTTTCATATTTGATACACAAGAGCAGAGTGACGTTTACGTTGAACCGGTTTAAAGATAAGGTAAGCTGATTTATTTCCTTTGTCTTGCAACTGAGCATTTATTTCGATTTTTTCGTCTTATTTTTTGCATATCTTCCTTCACTGACAATAAATCGTAGAAATTCTCGGAATGGGATGCAAATTTATCTGTCATTCTGGAGAACTTTTTAGTTGTTTCACTGTTACTATAATTCAAAGTAGAAACTTCAGTATGTTCCTTGAAGTCAAAAAATGCAATAAATTCACTACCTGATAGGACTTTTTGTTTGCAACAGTTCCACTTTATCTTCCTTCTGATGGAAAACGCATGTATTACGCTAGTGCACAAGTTCTGTCCGATTTTTTGCCTTTTGTTTGAAGCGGCTGTTCCAAAAGATTTCCACTTATAATGCGATACTTTTTGTATCATCAGAAAGCGCTTTTC